GCAAAGCGTCTGGTGGATTCGAACCGTGCACCTCTGGGACTGCAGAGCAGCTTTTTGCCACTAGGCCACCAGAGCTCCCTAATAATATCATTTATATTAACTTTAAAGTATCTAAATGTAGGAATTAAAAGCCAGATATCATAAGGCTTAATTTAAAAAAATAACAAGACAACAAATAAAATCCAACTACATGCAGTCTGCAGAATCTACTTTAACCCCTTCATGGCCCATGGACATATATTTCCCACCAATATTTTCAGTCTCAGATTTCTTGGGCAATTCCTATCCCACCTGTAGTGCCTCCTACTGATGGACAGGGACCTACATACCTGTGCGAATCTGAAGAAAAGTGTTTCACCTTACCAAGCCAAGCACTGGTCTACTTGGGACATATGTGTCCCACATTGTTGTTGTTATGTGCCGTCGGAGCCGTTTGCGACTCATAGCGACCCTATGTACAACAGCCCTAAACCGTGCTCTATCCTGTGCCAATCGCACTGTCTCCGACACTCCCATCCCAATTACCCCAGTCACTTAATCAATCCACCTCATAGAGGGCCTTCCCCTCCTGCGCTGTCCCTCCACCCTACCAAGCATGATGTCCCTCTCCAAGGACCTGTCCCCCCTCGCAACATGTCCAAAGTATGTTAGATGGAGCCTCAGAATCCTTGCCTCCAAGGAGCCGCCCGGTTTAACCCTTTCCAGGATGAATCTGTTTGTTTTCCTAGCAGTCCATGGTACACTCAATACTCTTCTCCAGCACCACAGCTCAAAGGCATCAATTCTCCTTCTATCCTCCTTAGTCACTGGCCAACTCTCTGATGCATAACAAGTGGTTGCAAAGACCATGGCCTGTATCAGACGCACCTTGGTATCCAGAGAGACACCATTGCTCTTCAGTACTTTGGAGAGGTCCCTAACAGCAGACGTTCCCATGGCAATATTTTTTTTTAATTTCCTGGCTGCTGATGCCAAGAGTGTTGACTGTGGAGCCGAGCAAACTGAAGCTGTGAACAATCCCAATCTCTTCGCCATCCATCCTGATGCTGCCAATTGGTCCAGTGGTGAGAATCTTTGTCTTCTTGACATTGAGCCTCAATCCCTATTGAAGGCTACAGTCCTTGATCCTCTGCAGCAAGCACTTCTTGTATAAAAATTCCTATTTCCGCAAAAAAATTTTACTTTATTTCAGCATGCCTCTCATCGCTGAAAATACATATTATCAACAAGAACCACAAAACCTTAAAGCAGAAAACCCCTCAATCATGAAAGAGTAAACCATATAAACAAGAATCAGATGGTGCTATGTGAATGAATAGTATAGACTTTTAAGTCAGCTATCTGCAGTCAAATCCCAATTCTGACACTCATTCCTTGTGAGTAAATATGTTGTTGCTTGTTATGTGCTATGGAGTCAGAATTGACTCCTAGCTGACCCTCCAGAGGGTTTTCAGAGGCAGTAAATCACACTGGAGGAGAATGGCCATCTTTCTCTCACAGAGCAACTGATGGATTTGAACCAGATGCCTTTGGGTTGGCCTTGCAACTCCCTGTCACTAGGCCACCAGAGCTCTCTGTGAGTAAATTTAAGTTAGTAAAGCATACTGTGCCTTGGTTTCCTCAACTGTGAAGTACAAATGATAAGTAGTGTGCAAATGGTAATGTTATTTAACTCTAGTAGTATTACAGGAGCTCTGGTGGCCTAGAGGCAAGAAGCTGCACTTCAATCTCAAAGTGATGCAGTTCAAGGCCACCAGGTGCTCTTCAATCTCCTCCAAAGCAATTAGTTGCCTCTGAAAACCCACCAGAGGGTCGGCTATAGGTTGGTACACAACAACAGTAGCATTACACCATTAAATTTATTTAGAAATATTCCAGGGTTTCTTGTGGCTGTACATATATTAAATTGAACTTCTCTATTTTTTTGAACATTTTGTGACCCACAGGCTATGTAGTGCCCACCTGTATTTTCCACCTTTGGGCTCTAGTGGGAAGAACTTATCCCATTTTTACTGCATGCTGCCATCTGGTGGAGGGATGTATAATGGCATTAATGGGCCTCATCCCACCAACCCCAGCACTATGGTCCTATGTGTCTCAGAAATTCCATTCAAATCATTATTGTTGTTGTTGTTGTTGTTGTTGTTATGTACCATTGAGTCAACTGCAACTCATAGCCACCCTATGTGCAACAGCTCTAAACCCTGCTCTGTCCTGAGCCTGTCTCACTGATTCTGACACACTACCCCCATTGCCCCAGTTACTGTCAGTCCATCTCATCTGGGGTCTTCCTCTCCTGCACTGTCCCTCCACCCTTCTGAGCATGATGTCCTTCTCCAAGGATTGATTGGGTCCTCTTGGCCATGCCCAAAGTATATGAGATGTAGCTTCAAAATCCTAGCCTCCAAGAAGAAACTTGGTTTCACCCTCTCCAAGACAGACCTGTTTGTTTTCTTGGTGGTCCATGAAAGTCCATGTCAAGACTCTTCTCCAGCACCACAACTCAAAGACATCAAAATCCATATTACCTAAAAATTTGTTTTCATTCAAAATGCCTTCCATTTACTGAAAGCACAGGGTTTTAAAAACACATTTCAAAGCAAAAAAGAATTTTATCTTGAAAGAGTTAAAGAATAGGAGTGTGCCTGTATGACTTTCTTTGTGAATAGAAACAGGTAATCTATGAAACTTTAAGAACCATGTATGGTTTGCCTCATAGATTCTCACAGAAAAGTTCTCATTAAGATTTCAAGACTTGTGTTACTGCAGAATAATAAAATTTCTCCTGACTGCTTCAGTCACATAAAGGGATGTTGTGAGAAATATGTATGTTAATGCATGGAAGATGGTTGGAGTAAGCCTGAAGAATAGAAAGTGCTTGCTACAGAAAGTGAAGGACTGCAGCCTTCAATATGGATTGAAGCTTAACATCAAGAAGACAAAGATTCTCACCACTGGGCCAATTGGCAGCATCATCATGATGGATGGAGAAGAGATTGAGGTTGTTAACAATTTCAGCTTGCTCGTCTCTACAGTCAACACTCTTGGCACCAGCGGTCAGAAAATCAAAAGACAAATTACACTGGGAAAATCTGCTGTCAGGGAGCTCTCCAGAGTACTGAAAAGCAATGATGTGAGGCTAGAGACTAAGGTGCGCCTGATCCAAGTCATGGTCTTCACAATTACTTGCTATGCTTCAGAGAGCTGGACAATGAATGGCTAAGTATGGCAGAAGAAGAATTAATGCCTTTGTGTTGTGGTACTGAAGAAGAGTATTGAACATAACCATGGACCACCAAGAAAACAAACAAGTCTGTCTTGGAGAGGGTGAAACCAAGTTTCTCCTTGGAGGCTAGAATTTTGAAGCTCCATCTCACATACTTTGGGCACGTGGCCAGGAAGGATTGATCCTTGGAGAAGGTCATCATGCTCAGCAAAGTGGAGGGACAGCACAGGACAGGAAGACCCCCCAATGAGATGGATTGATACAGTGACTCAGGTATTGGGAGCAGGTGTGTCTGAGTCACTGAGACTGGATCAGGACAGAGCAAGGTCGCTATCGGTCACAGCGACTTGACTTGACGGTACATAACCACCACCACCACCACCACTTAAGGGATAGCTATCATTACATCCTAATTAGAGATGCAACTGAGCTTGTAAGTCAGTCCCCTAAGGGCATAGCAACATGTTGTTGTTGTTGTTGTTATGTGCCGTCGAGTCGCTTGCGACTCACAGCGACCCTATATGTACAACAGCCCTAAACCCTGCTCTGTCCTGTGCCAATCTCACTGCCTCTGACACACTATCCCAATTACCCCAGTCACTGAATCAATCCACCTCATAGAGGGTCTTCCCCTCCTGCGCTGTCCCTCCACTCTGCCCAGCATGACGTCCCTCTCTAAAGACCTGTCTCTCCTTACAACATGTTCAAAGTATGTCAAGCGAAGCCCCAGAATCCTTGCCCCCCAAG